AAAAAAAAAAAAAAAAAGTTGTCCCCACATGCTAAAGGATCCTGTGATTAGCATATTCCAAAATTAGGGTCCTGTCTATCTTTTCCTGAGAAAGGCAGTCATTCATTAGCTTGTCTGAAATCACCACCTTTCCCAAAATCCGCGTCCGTGTGGAATACATGTGTCCTTGTACGATTTGAGTATTGGGATCCCTCCTGATGCGAAATAATTAAGGGCTGTAATGAGCCCTCAAGACTGCACTTAAGCAAACATTGGCTGAGGGTCACCTACGTGCTGCGAACTGCAGCAGGTCTTTGGAGGTTAGTTGATTTCGGAGATGCATCCTGCCTGTGAAGACCTCAGTCACACCTGGAGAAGAAGACCCGTATATGAAGGACTGACATACATGGCACAGTGAGACATGCCCTAAGGTGTCAACAGTCCTGGGACAATGCCCCAAACCTGGACACTCTGGCAGTAACATCCCCTGATCATCTGAAACAGCCCACATTTAGTCTTTTGCTATAACATATGCACCAATCAATACTGAAGATGAATTAAACTGATGAAAATCAATCCCAAAGCCAGTTTTCCTTTCCAGACCAAAACTTTTCATCAATAATGGAGAATTAAAAGATGTCACTAAATTCTGATACCTGCATTGCACGTAGTTCAAACACAGGTTGTGAAATGGATTAAGAAGTAGGAAGCCTTGCCAAGAAGCTTGTTCTGCTGGCCTTTGGCAGACAGAGGGACAAGTGAGATACAAATAGACAGAGAGGGACCCATTCCAGAATAGAGCGAAAGCCCTTGAGGCCGACTGCTCAATCCAGGCAGGTGACCCAGGGCTCTTCTACCCACTCAGCGGACGGGGAGTCCGGTGGTGGAGTCCCGAATGCCTCCAGGAAATGAGGCAGACACACAGAGAACACCCAGAAGTCTGTTCAGCTGGTTTGAAGGAGAGAATTGGAAAAAGCAAAAAAGGATAGAGACAGATTTGGGGGACATCACGGAAGACTAGGAAGTGGAGACTTTTAGCTGCTGAAGGTTTTTGAGCAGAAAGCTAACAATTTCAAAGAAGCAGCTTCGTGCCTATTCTTAGAGCAACAGGGAATTTGAGTATTTCTCAATGTCCCACCTCTGAGGTTCATGGCCCTAGCGATGGGGCTGCTCTGTCTGCTCCAGCAGGAGCAGAAAAGAAGGAGCCAGGGCCCAAGGAATTGTAGACGCTGCGCTCCCTCTGTCTTCTATGCCGTTTCCTGGCCTTGGGTCTCCTCTGTCTCAGGAGCCCGCACATGCTCCCATGGCTACTGCCAGGACACCATGGTAAATGTTGAGTTAGTGATGCTGACAAGATCCACCCTGCAGGACTGCCCTGCCCTGCCCAGAGCTGATGGAGGCTCTGGCCTCATGTTTCATTCATTTATTCAATCAGTCATTCCCCGGGCACTGGCAGATACCAGACACTATGCAGGATGTCGCGATGAAGAAAGAAATGTAGGTGATGATGGAATCACAGGCCCATCCCTCAAGCATATGTCTAGTAGGGGAGTCCTTCATTCCGTCAACAAACATTCTCTGAGCAGTTGGTACGTACCAGAGCAAAGCCAGGCACTGGAGACACCACCCCTGCCCCAGGAAGCACAGAGTCCAGGGTGGGAGACAGGCAGAGAGATAATGAAGTGGAATGAGCTACCAGTCGGGTGGGCCCGGGTGCTTCAGGGTTCCAAAGTAGAGGCTGCACACCAGGCCTGTATGAGAAGATCGTGAACGGTCACTGAATAAAATTCTCATGCTGCAGCATCTGTGGGCAGCTGTCCTCTGGGAGCAGGATGAGCAAAACAGCACCGAGACCCAGGATGAGGGAAGAAGGGTGACAGGGTCCTGGGGAAAGCTGCTCTAGGGCAGGGGAAACCTCTGTAGTGTACCCATGGGGCAGCAGACCAGCCTGGGACTCAGAGCAGAGCCTGGGGACAGGAGAGGCTCGGAATGGCCCATGCAACTTGGCTGGTGACACCTTCCCTGGAGGCTGGGGCACTGGTGGAGTTGGGCAGGGAAGGTGATGCTGCCCCCGCCCTGCAGAGGCTCCCATAAGGAGCCCATCATGTCTGGGGTAGGGAGCATAGGAACCCTGGTATGGCTCGAACTCTTGGGACAAAAAGGGCAGTTGTCTACAAGGTGCCACGGTCCCCTGGTGAGAAATCTGAGCCCAGTCCCCTTGATTGGTCCTACTCAGGAAGTAGGCAGACGGGGTACCCACAAAGAGCCTGGGCTTTGCTCACTCTGCCCTCCAAGCAATCCCTGTACTCTGTCCAAGTCAGTTTCTCTTCTGCCAGTGAAGCTTCTTCCAGGGTTGGGGGTGGAGGAAAGTGTTCCCAGAACCACCCAGTAGATGCTTGATTCCTCTTGGCAAAAGCTGACTCTTCCCCAGCCCCGGTTCATGACAGGAAAGACTATCACAACCCCTACGCTATGCAAAAAGCACTTCCAGCCACATTCAAAATTAGATTCTCACAGCAATCCTGGAAGGTAGATGATGGAGTAGGTACTATTGTTCCCAATTTATTGATTCAAAGATGTAACTTGGCCGGGCGTGGTGGCTCATACCTGTAATCCTAGTACTTTGGGAGGCTGGGATGTGTGCATCATGAGGTCAGGAGTTCAAGACCAGCCTGGCCAACATGGGGAAACGCTGCCTCTACTAAAAATATAAAAAATTAGCTGTAGTCCCAGCTACTCGTGAGGCTGAGGCAGGTGAATCTCTTGAACCTGGGAGGCGGAGGTTGCACTGAGCTGAGATCAAACCATTGCACTCCAGCCTAGGTGACAGAGCGAGACAGAGTCTCTCCCCTACCCCCAAAAAAGTAGCTTGATCCTGAGGAGATATTTGTACTCTGTGTTCACAGCAGCATGATTCTCAATAGCCAAAGGATAGAAGCAGCCCAGGTGTCACTTGACACATGAAAGGAGAAACTAAACGTGTCCATCCATACACTGGAATATTATTCAGCCATAAAAAGGAAGGAAATTCTGGCACACACTACAACATGGGCGACCCTTGATATTATGTGAAAAGAAATGAGCCCATAACAAAATGGCAAATACTATATGCCTCTTACATGAGCTCGTTAGAGGAGTCAGATTCATAGAGGTGGAAACTAGAATGGGAGCTGTTGGGGCTGAGGAAAGTGGGAAAGGGAGGTGCTGTTTATTGGGTGTGGAGAAAACGAAGAAGTTTTACACAATTTGAAAGTTCAGAGGCGGATGGTGGTGATGGTTACGCAACAGTGCGAATGTCCCTAACATGACTCAACCGTACACTTAAAAATGGTTGGGATTGTAGATTTTATGTTATGCACATTTTACGATATTTTACAATTGTGA